GGGGCGGGCGCTCAGAGATGGTCATGGGTTGAGAGAGAGAGATCTGAGGCTCAGCGGAAGGGATAGGGAAGGTTAGGCCTGGTCATACTCAGGAAGCTGTTGAACACCCAATGAGTAGGCATCTCCTGCCTCAGATCCACTGCCAGAAGAAGGAGAAGGTCGAGTTGCTCCTCTGGAACTGCGGGTGACCCAGCGGGTTCTGCAAGAGCCCAAGGGCTCCATTGGGGCCTTCCGCATCTCAGGTCCATTCTCCCCGAGGCCCCATTGCAGGTTCATCCCAGAAGGACAACCTCACACAGGCTTTGGACCCGCAGTACCTGCATCCTAGGTCAGTTGGCACATAGAGGCCCCGCCCCTTCGGGTTGCTTAATCAAGACGTTGGACCCACCCCAAACGAAGGGCCCACCCCAGCCCCAGGTCTTGGCTCCACCCCCTAGCACTCACATTACCACCGAGGCCGCGCCTCCTCTGATGTCCTAGACAGTCTATTACACGAGGCCACGCCGCTTAAGGGGCCTTCTCAGGTGCCCCCCTCCCGACACCCTAGAGGCTCCGCCCCTCAGGAGGGGTCCTGACAAAATTTTATCCCAGTTCCAGGCCAGTCTCCGCCCTTAGCCACTCCCCAGACCACGGTTTACCCGGGTTCGACCCGCCCCTCATGGTTTCCGCGCCACAGGCCGTCTACCCCTTGTGGCTCGGGGCGCCGGCATCTGGCGAGTGCTTCCAGCCCATGTAGTTCCTCCGGGCACTCCTGAACTCAAGGGGGGCTAACCGCAGCTCGAGCCCCGGGCTCTTCTGCTCTCGGGCACCCCGGGCCCCGGTCCAGTTGACCGGTGCCTACTTCTGTCCCCCGAGGTGTCGCTCACTGGGGCCGTCCTCTCACGTACGCCAGCCGTTAACGCCCTCAGCCAGTGTGCGACGGCCGGATCCGTCACACCCTGCGTGCAACCAGCCGGCCCGAGGCAGGACCCAGCCCTCTCTCCTTATATCTGAGCTTGGCTGCTGACGTCACCGTTTAAAGGCTGACAGAGCGTTACAGAGGTGGCCGTGACGTTACAGGGGGGTCATGGTTGTTGTTGTGACGTGCCAGCGAGTCGCTTCCGACTCATATGACTCTATAGGGTTTCCGTGGAGCGGCTGGGGAGTTTGAACCGCCAAACTTGCGGTTCAAACTCATGGTGGTCCCTTTTATTCTTTCTGACGTTATAAAGCACTTCATTGAAACCCTATCTAACATGTTGTTAAGTGCCATCGACTGGGTTCTGACTCACAGCGACCCTGTATAGGGTTTCCAAGGAGCAGCTCGTGAAATTGAACCACCGATCTTCAGGTTCAAACTGATCTGTGGTCCAGTGGAATATTCCAGTGTCAAACTACTATCTAACATGGCACCAGCAAAAAACCATTTCTATCTCCCTTCCCTTCTTTTTTTCCGCCTTGGTGGAAGGAGAAGCCAGGACATTGCAAACGAAGAATTCTGGTTCTCCGTTCTGCCCTGCCATTTCCTATTTGACAGTGAACTTCTTTGGACCCCAGTCACCCCATATGTCAAATGGAATTGGTGAAACCTTCTCAGCATCCGAAAGTCTGGAGATCTAATCTGGAACTTGCTACCCATTCATCTTGTTTGATGTTTTTGCCGTCTAATCGACTTGGATTAAGCACACCATGTACACTAGAAGAGACCCTGCTCAATCCTGCCCCACAATTGTTGTTATGTTTGAGTTCATTGT